CATTTATTAAGCTGGCATATTGATTTCTGCCTTTTTTTAATTGGATTAACAAGACATAGTTTAGATTGAAAGAGCCTTATCATCATCCAGGCTCCATTCGACACAAAGAGGGAATGAATTTGTCCAAGCCCAGTTCCTGGCAAAATGGAGCCAATCATTGCTAAGCTACTTTTGGGTTTTGTTTTTTGGTTTTTTGGTTTTTTTGAGATATTGTAGCTGGGAAGTTGGCAGCTTGCTCTTTCAAAGTGACAGCTTTCAAAAAGTCTACCTAACACAATTTAGCCTAATTCCAAACACATCAGAAAATGGACTGTTAAAAAAAAAAAATCTCTCCTCATGAGCCAGCTGCCTCCCTGTCTCCCTACCCTCTCCCTAATATGAAAAAAAGTAGATTATTTTCTCCTTAGGTTGTAACAATATTCTTCTGAGAATGATTATACCTGTCACAGACGGAATCTTGAAATAAGTTGAATGTTTAGGTTCATATCCTAGGAATTCCCTAGTGAATTGAAATCTCCACGCAATCTTTGGTAATATTATTACCAAACTGTAGGCATAAATACTGTCCATGAGGAAGTAGGTTTGTTTATTGTTGAAACAACAGGATAAAAGTTCCTCTCTCATATTTCTCTTGGATACCCCAAATTTTAAAGTATCATTAATTAGAATGATTAAAAACATCTTCTTAAGCAGCTTACTGTTTTTTAACTGTTGCCATTCAAATGTCCTGTACCGTAAAATGTAGAAGAAATGCTCAGCGGCTCAGAGGAAGCTAGAATAAGAAGTGAGACCAGCATCTTCTCCAGAGATGGAAATCTGCCTGGTCTACTTTTCCTCTCACCAGAAGTATCTCAACAGCCTCCAAATGTATTTCCATTTGCTTCTCTCCATTTGCTCCTCACCACTGGAATTACCTTCATGAAACATAGTTCTGATTATGTCATTTTGCTATTTAGAATCCTTTGCAAGTCCTCCTTTATCTGCAGGAGAAAAGGTAAGGTCTCAGTGTACCTACTGTAACAGGTCCCTGCCTACTTTTCCCAGGCTCATCCCCCCCTTGTCCCCATTACTTGATATGTACTGTTCCCTCTGCTAGAAATGCTGTTTCCATGCACTTGCCTGCCTGGAAGACTCCTATTCACCCTCTAAGACCCAACTCAGATGGCCTTTCATCATAAAGCCTTCCTCACCCTGTTTCCCACTGTCCCCACACCATATCATTACTTTCTCTGTTCTTTCACTGCAATTGGCATAATTTCTGTGACAGTATTTGTTGCACTGAATTGCAATTATATTTTCTGTGTCTATTTCATCTAGTAGATGGAGAGCCACTTGAGGCCAGGGATTGGCTTACTCATCTTTGTGTCCTCAGAGAGAACTTAGAGTACTTCCTGACACATAGGTGGCAATCATTAAATGCTTTTACACAAACTGAATGAAATGATGAATTGGTTCTATACAACATCATTTCTTCATCGTACATTAAATGCCTTTCTAATTCTTTTAAAAACCCTCAATCCAGAGAGGTTTACTCTGCACAAAGGAGAGATTGATAATTAACTAGTTAATTAACTGCTTTGGTTCTGACAGGGTGTGGGGTGGGAAGGAGGAGAGATGCTCTCAGAAAGGCAGAAGACCCCATTAGCCTGAAAGACTCTAGATCTCTCCTGCATTTGACTTTTTAGGGATCTAGACTTGCTTTCCAGTTTGAATTCATCACATTAGATCTGCCAAATAAGGATTACAATCACTACTGCAAAGGATAACCTATGGTTAATAATGCAGAGTCAAATCAGACCAAGAATATAAGGCTATCTTCCAGAACATTACATCTCCTGCTAAAATAACCTTGGAGACCAGGAAAGCTGTAGAGAGATTTCCAGAAACAACCACTAAACATTCAGAACAGTCTATTAGGAAGAGATGCAAATCCAGCAATCTGAGGAGATTTTCACATATTTTAATTGGCTACAGCTGAGTTCAGAAGGGGGCCTGAAGAACCCCTAAAACACATGAGGATGTCAAACACCACCACTGACTGGCTGGTCCCATCTCTGGGGTCTCACTGTCACCTCAAATATTTCCATTTTTTAAAAATATCATGATGCTGTATGGGAAGAGCCTCATGTGAGTTTATACATTTTGAAATGCAGGCTAAAGTCATTCTTAACCAAATATTCACAAAAGCTGTGAATTAAGGGTATCATACCCACTCAGTGTGTATTATATATATATATTGACTGTCACAGGAGCGTTCGAAATGAAAAATCTGTCATTTGTCCCTTTTCCTCCTCTTGCCTCTCTGCCTTCTCAGTCAGTTTGGAAAGAGCAGCTTGATGAAGGGACACTTTTGGAAAAAAGCTTCTATTGAAACAAATGAGGAGAATTTGACCTAGGGCTTTGGGAGCCAAAGCTGTCCTCAGACCTGGGCTCAGGGAGCTTCAAGCCCTCTTGGATGCCCCTAGGGGTCACTGCATAAACTGCAAGAAGACAGCCACTAATCACACGTTGTGACAGCCTTAGCAGGGGATGACTTGGGAGAAACTGAGGTATTTTGTGTCAGAAAACCTGCTTTTGGCACAATAAAAGAGAAATATGAAATGTAAAGGATAAGTAGGGGATAGTTCTTGATCACATGGTCTGTATACTGGTATTTTTCTTCTGTTCTACTCATCTAGGACTTCCCCCATGATACCTGGGTTCAGAGACCCTATCCTCATGGTGTGTAGTACCTAGCTCACGTGTGGGAGACAGATTAAATGAAGGCATGTTTTTAAAACCTGGAACCTGCTATTAATAATAAGATTATAATGACTCTAGGCCTGATGAGTCATTCAATTCTCAAGTGATTGATTGTTCATTCATTCTACAAATAGTCATTGGACACTCATATTCCTCTGCCAGGGCCTGTAATAGGTATCCCAGAATGTCACTTGGGCTGTGGACACATATGATTGCCAAGCAAACGATGACTGATTTTTCAAAATAATTCCCCACCCGTACCTCCAAAAATAAATACACAGAAAACAATAATCCCAGATTTTTTTTTTTTAAATCAACCTATCTACTCAAATTCTCTGGTAGTTTTGATTTCTTGTTAGGAAACTTTTGTTCAGATTTCAGATATACAGTCCCTGTAAGCTGTTACATGTTCCCCTTAGAAACAAGTGTTCACTGGGGTGGGCTCCTAACCTTGTAGGGTATGACAACTTGCACATTCTGAATCAATGAGCATTTGTTGGTCAAGTGTCTCATAGATCAGGTGTCTCATAGGCACTAGTCATTTGATCATCATGGCAACTGTGAAGTAAGTATTGCTTCCATTTTCTTGATGGAGACACTGAGGCTCCCCTGGGTGGCAAAATGGATAAGTGACAAATGTGGAACCAGAACCCAATTCTTCTGAGTCCTGAACCAAGGGGCTTTTTGCTACATCTCACTGCCTCTGTTCGCATTTCTCCTCGCTGATCCTATGCCCCTTTCTCTTTCTGTTCTTTGGCCCACTTCTTCCAGCACCTTGGCCCCCATTCTCCAGGGCCAAGAGTCTTCTCTGCCAGAGGGGGATTTTGCTAAAACACTGAATACACCAAGGTATAATAATTTGCTTATAATTGCTCGATAATTTGACATCTGCATGCTTTTCAATTTTATTTGCATTCTTAGAGAAAGGAAGGAAAAGAAAAGAAAAGAAAGGAAAGGAAAAGAGAAGAAGAAACCCGAGTTTGGACAGTGAAGGAGTGAACATCAACTACTTGCTTTGACCTCGGTTTCCCCACCTTGTAACATGGGGATTTAGATAAAGTTAATTAACAAGTCCTTTTTAACTCAGTTCCGTGGCTCTAATGGCAGAGTTGTAGGGAATGCAGCACCCCACTCGGAGAAAGAGCTCAGAACTACAAGTTCACAAGTCTGTCTGGATGCTTCCACTCAACTGAAGAAGCCCTTCTGTGAGTTCCCCCCTCCAAATTTGGATGGTACCTTAATGGACGGTACTAGATGTCTCTCTGTTTCCACAGTTGGATATCAAATTGTCTAGACATGATAGTAACTCAATCAAACCTGTCTACAAGGTGCAGGCAGTTCTCTAATTTGCCGGACTTGTTAATAATCAGCATTGTTCTTTCCCTTTGCTTTCAACTGCTGATCTCTTTCTGAGGAGGCAGATTAACCACCCACCACATGGGTGATCGTGGGCACCTGCCCCCAAGCGGGTGTTTACCTCCCAATGAAACCTAGCACACAGTACCCTCAGGAGCAGAAGTGGGCTTGCTGCATGAGTGCTACCAACAAAAAGTGGTCCATGAGAGATGCCATTCAAGGACATGAGTCTGAATGTCCCTGCTGTGACCCAAGGGAATGATGTCTGTGTCACCAAGCCACTGCTGGCTCCTGGGCCCCATCACAGTTGACAGGGCTGAGTGGAGGTCAGCTGCTGGCTGCTACTCCCAGAGCAGGTCCCTTGGGATCATTGGAGGCGAGAGCAGGGGAAGCAGCTTGCCTCACCTGCTCACTAGGCTGTTCTGGAGAGAAATAGAGGGCTTCCATCTCCATTACTGTCAGAGTCTGGCATCTTTCACCAGCTCTGAAATTCACAGCAATGGAGAGAGGAGGGAGGAGGGAGAGGGAAAGAGGCACAAGCCAGACAATCAAAACAGCCACAATATTTTGGAAGTGGAAACTTCCAGCTAGAGAATATTTTTAAAAGCAGAACAGCAGGGCTGGAAGAGGCATCCACTGAGCCAATGCCCTTGTTTTATAGAGGAAATAGCTAAGAGGTAGAAAGACAAAGTGACTTCCCTGGGATCACAAAGCTATTAAGTGGTAGAACTGGGACAAGAATCTGGATCTTGGGGCCTTTTACCACTCAAAAGAAGGCTTGGGAGTCTTTTCTTTAATACCAGACACTGGCAGGGGAGCCACTTTTGTGGGAACCTAGTGGAGACAAAGGGTGCTGACCCAGCCAGCACCTGCAGGTAGGAGCAGGTGGGGGGACCCTGTACCTTGCAGGTTGACACCTCGGGGCACCAACCCTTGCAGCTCCATAGTGGGGAGGTCATCCTCTGCCGCATTGGACGCGTTGCGGGGCAGGGCTCTCCTGCCTCCAAATGCAGGCTCGGAGGTCTCAGACATTCTCAGCTTCACAGGCTCCTTGTGGGGGAGAAAGGGAGACACAGAAAAGGAATGGGAGGCGAGTTACATTTGAGACAAGGATTCAAAAATAGAGAAGCAGACATATCCCTGTGGGGTAGCACTGAAGCAACACATTTTGAGTTTCACATAAATAAAGCTTGAGAAGTGGCAGTAAGGATTAGTCTAATGATGGAGTACAGTTCCCCAAGGATCTTGGGGAGATTTCTTGTTTGTCAAAACATACGGAAAGCAGAAGAAAAGGGACTTATTTGGAGAAATAAGATTTTAGAGAGCAGGGTTTTTTTTTCCCCCCTCGTTACCCCTAAAGGCAGTATTTTTGTAAGAAACGTTTAATGTCATATGCCCGTACATATGTCCATTTCATATAGACTTATGAAGCCCTAAGCCACTTTTAAGAATAAAGTTATCCAACCATGTCCAGGTAAGTGGCATCCTCCAAAGCATTCATTTTTGCAATTTCATTCAATCAATATTTAATGAGAGCCTACTACGTGCCAGGCTGTGATCTGGGCACTTGGGATACACCAGAGAACAAGACAAGGATTGTTGACCTAGGGAGCTTTCCGTCCAGTGAGGGTTAGGGTGGAGGCCACACTTTGCAGAAGAAAAAAGACAAGGGTGTAAGAAGGTGGCAAGTGCTTTGGAGCCAGGACCACACAGAGCAGGAGAAGGCTGATGGAATCTGGGTGGGTGAAGGGGGTACACTGCAATTTTAAATTAGGGCTATCGAGAGCCTTTCTCCGAATGTATTTGGTCAGTGGTGCCAATACTGACTTTGCTGCAAGCCTGCTTCCCCTTCCTCTGGAGTTTGTACAGGCGAGGAGCCAGCTTAAACACCACACACCTCACTGTCAGGCCCCAATCAGTACTTGTTGACCAACTGACCAAATAAAGGGAGCCCTTGTTTCTGGCCCAAATGGAGCTTTTACCTTGATCACCTGGATCACCCAGTCATGACTCTTGGTTATTTGGCTCTTTTCAAAAACCAAGCACACTCTCAAAGATGAAGAGCCTCCACTATAGAGGCAACCAGAGTAGACTGTTCCGGAAACATGTTAAGCAAAGGCAACACAGCTGGAGACAAGAGAACCACTTTCTAGGGTATTTGGTCTGGGAAGGAGACAGCAATGTTTGCAAGTATAAAGTCTGAATAGGTTTCCATAAATACCTACAGACATACTTACCCAAAGTCTCTAGTGAGCTAAGGGGACAGGGAGAAAGGGTTAATGATGGAGGCAAGGTAAGAAAAAGCAGTCCACCGGAGGAAAATAAGCCGGGTGGGGAGGGGAGGGTGTGGGGCAGAACAGAGTAGAGCAGTGCGGTAGCCTGTTGGGAGAGAGAACCCAGAAAGCAGAGAGCTGGTGAGCCCCAGGTGCTTACCAGATAAAGGGAGACTGTGCAGGTGAGTGCAGGTGGGCAGAAGCAACCCCTTCTCCACAGGTCTGGGGTGGGGCAAGTGCTCAACTTCAGCTCTTGCATTGGGGGAGGGAAAGGGGATGCACAGGGATGCAGAGCCAAGCCAAGCAGGTGTTCTTACCTGGTCCTATATCCCTCTCTCTCTAACCTTTTGTTTCACCCTTCCATAATCTGCTCCCCTGAAGAGAGGGGAGCTCCCTTGGGGGAAGCACTCCCAGGTCCTTTATTCCCATCTGGTGGCCTTCTTGCAAGCAGCGTCTTCTGGGAAGCTTGAAGGAGTACCTGAGAAGTTCCCGCTTGGACGGAAGTGGGGCTCGGTAGGCGCTGAGATGGGGACCAGGAGAGGCAGTGGAAAAGTGGGGGCGCCTCTGAACCTTGTCCCCTATACCCGGAGCAGCAGCCTGAGGGATCGCTGCAAAACTCTAGGGCAGGGGGACAGGCGCAGCGGGGCCTCTCGGCCCCTGGGTGCAGGTTTGTGGTGAGGCCCGGCAGGAGGGGCGGCGGCTTACCTGCGGTCCCGCCTGAGCTGCCCTAACGCAGGCTGGCTCTGTGCGGCTCAGGGGTACTTCCTCAAAAGGACGCAGGAAAAACGCAAGAAAGTTGACTCTTAAATAACTTCCTAACAGCTCCCACCCTCCTCCCCCTCCAATCCCACAGGGTTTTCTCCTCCCCCTTCTTGACAGCTGGAGCAAAGGGAGCAGCTTCTAGGACTTCCTACTTACTTCTGCCATCCTGATGTTTTTCTGGCATGAGCCCCTCCTCCCACCCAAGCCCCCTTACTCCCAAGTTCCTAGCCCGGCTTCTCCTCACCCTCCCCACCTCCAGTTCTGCCGCCCCTCTCCAGCGTCCAGCACATCCTGCCCCCTCCCTTTCCTCAGAGGGGCTAGAAGGGTCTTCCTCCACAGGCAATGTCCCCCCTGGGGATTCTGAGGTTGGCTGCTTGGATGAAGGGTGGGTCTGCCCTCTGGCAGACAGGTCACAGACAGATGTGCCCATGCATAAAGCAAGAGCAACGTGTCCTTCTTGAGTCAATAAGCTGAGGGGGGATGGTCTGCGTTCTTAAAACATCCTTGGGAGCCTCAGCCACCACCTAACTGCAAGACTTCCCACAGGAGGGGGGGCCCAGCCCTGGGGAGGATGAGTAAATAACTTTAAGTGTCACAAAATTAGAAAATAACAGTTTTTTTTTTCCTGAAAACCAGTTTGATTTATTTTTAAATAACTGGAGAAGTAGAAAATTTTTCTTCTATGTATATATTTTTTTCTGAGTCTTTGTATCTCTAAATACTCCTATTTTCAGACATGGCTATTTTTAACCTTCTTTACTGTCTTCAAATTTCTGACCTTGCCCCTTGATCTAATTTCAGAGAGAGGGGGGAAAAAAAAGACACCATCAGTTAGGAATTCTCTAAATTTTCTGCTACGAATCTATGAACTTGCCTGCAAACTTACCCATAATTCCCTCTTTCTTTCTCTTACTAAAGTGGAAAAGGTTTCCAGTCACCCCTTTGTCCATGGCCAAGTGCATGAGGCCCTGCCTTTTTGCCTGTGGTCCATGTCACCTTGTTCTCCAGGGCCTTACCATACTGCATATCCATTCTTTCTCCTCTATCTTCAAGCTCCCACTCGGGCAGCTTCTCCCCACCAGCACTGACACAAATTCAAGGTAAGTCTCTTCAATACTAAGTTAAATCCTTCCCTGGGCCAACATGCCCCCCGGATACTGCTCCCCTCTTTCCTCTTCATTGCAAGCTTCTGCCATCTGGCATGTGCCCCCATCATTCTGTTGAAACTAGCTCAAGGTCACCAATGGTCTGTGCTAAATCCAAAGGACAGGATTCTGTTCTAATTCACTTACCCTTTGGAGACACTGAACTTGCCCACTCTTGCCTTAAAGGTTTGTCCCCCTCGATTCTGGGGCATTACACTCCTCCAGTGCTGCACACAACCCCTCGGATTAACTTGGCGTTCCCATCATTCTCATTTCCCATCTGTATCCTGACATGTCCCAGATCTAGGTCTTTAGCCATGACCTTTTCTAGAACCTCAGATTCCCCAGTGTAACTGCCTCCCGACCATCTTGGCATGTCCCAGTGATAACTCACACTCATCATGTCTAAAATGAGATGTGTAATTTCCCCCAAAAACCTGGTCCATCTCAGAAGTTCCCTGTCTCAGTGAATGCCATCACCCTAATTCTGTTGCCAAGCCAGACATGTGGTGTTGTTCTCGGCACTTCCTTCTTTTCCTCCCCTCAACCCCCAAATCCAATCCCTCAACAAATACTTTCTGTTCTTCCTCTTAAATATCTCTTGAATCTACCCATCCACTCCCACTCCCACTGTGGAGGTTCAGACTACCACATCATCCTCTGTTGTCAAAATCCCCAGAACCACCTACCACTTCCAATCTTGAGTCCTCCAACCTGTTCTCCACACGGCAGTGAGAAAGAGCTTTGAGGGGCTCAAATCTGAAATCAAATTGTTTGCACAAACTCTTCTATCACTGCTTCCCTTTCCTCTTAGGATAAATTCCAAGCTTTGGTTGACTGGGTCTCTGCAATGTCTGTCCTACTTTACCCTCCATCCCCATCTCTTTTGCTCTCTCTTGCCTTATGCTCTCTTGTCTTCTGTCCTGCTCTCTCTTGGCTTCTGACGCCCACTCTACCCACCTCCTGCCCCCCAACCCCTTGGGCTGTGCTCCAGCCCCAGTGATTTCCCTGCTTGTACCACTTGCACCGCTGCCAGAAAAACGCTCCTCTCCTCTCGCCTCTTCTCCCCACCAGACTGTTTCTTACTTGCTCTCCAGATCTCAGCCTAAACTGCACACATGCCCTGCAGGGAGTTGGCCTTGTCCTGGTGCGTCTCTTACAATGCAGCCTCTGTCTGTCTCCTTATCTGTACTCCCACTAAACTGCATGAGGGTAGAGACCCCAAATGGAGTTCCCCGGGGAGAGTCTGCTGACCTATCGATTACTCAAAGTCCATCCTTTCCATATTCTTTGCTCAGCTCTAGAGAAGGACCGTCCTACTCTGGTAGTTCTCCTGACAAAAATCAAGCCTGAGCGTCCAGAATTCCTAGAGACCCCCTTGCCCATGTGGGTCTGGGGAAGAGTGGGGCAGCTTTGCTTCCTTCAGATTAGGTGGCACAGCTGCCAGACCCCCTGGGATTCCTGGCTGTGCTGTGCATTCAGGACAGGCTTGTCACCCTCACAACCACCACCTCTTTTGGCCTGAGACTCAGTAATTATTGTGTGACTATGCATACATGTTGTTTAGCTTTCTAGCTTCCCCAAACCACTGACCCAGAAACATTAAAAACGCGACGGCTTTCCTTGTGCCTAAAACTAGTGTCAATAAGAGAGTGTCTGGGGTCACCAAGCTCAGCACGTGGTTGAAGCCCAGAGATGTTACAGAGCCTTTCCTCACAGCACTGAGGCTTAGAAGTCAGAAAGAAGTTTTCTGGCCATACCATGAACCTTGAGCTGTGCCAAAAAAATGTGACTATTGTAGAAGCAGCTGGATGAATAGACTCTGAACTCTGTGGTGTCCTTTGTTTCTGAATGTTTC